GAGGAACTGGGCGGCTCTGCCCCGCCGCGCCCCGCCCCTCCCGCCTTACCCTTCTCTCATTGCGAGATGCTGCGTAATGAACGCCGTGTACGCGTAATTCTGTACGTCTCTGGGAGAACAATTCCTGCGTCCTTATTATTCAGGAAGAGCAGCCGACTTCTTGTCGGTTTTAAGCCAGCCCTCCTTCCACTTCGAAAAAAGCTGTGTAGTGCGGGCCAGTGTCGGTCCGTCTGTATGTTGCAGCTTTAAACTCTTGAAGTTTTCAGCGTAGCATAGAGTTCACTGCGGAAACAAAAAGTCCACGCCTTTTTTTTCGGTGGAACTTCTATCGTGTTTCTACTTTGCCAGTAATATTCCGCGAGGAACTTTTGAAGTTAGCTCTTTTCTCCTCTAGTTTTGGGGGTGCTAAACTATAACTCCAAAACGTTGAGGAGGAGGAAGTATAGGACGGTTACGAATTGGGTTCAATAGATAATGAATTTTTGATGAGTCTCATGTGTGGATGCGAATACTGTAGGCTGCTCAGTAATTGGTAATCGTGGGAATTATATCGTGAAACGCGAAGGTTGAGCACGGGTCGAACCACGCTGATCGACGCCCCGTATAGCGTGAGCGCGTTGCACTGGTGAAGAGCACGAGTGAGCGATGGAGCAGGCGAGTGCTAGGCTCATTCAGGAGAATCGTTTTCAATCGAACTGTCTCCTGATTGGCTGACAATAAGCTGCTCCGAGTAGATTATGCGCTCAACTGAACCGGAGCCAAGTCTCACGCACAACAAGAGCGCTCGATGGGCGGCGCTTCGCTTCCGCGAGTCACCCGGAGGCGTGGTTGAGCCGGGCAGGGTGTGGAAACACCCACGACAACCGACAGGAGGCTGAGGGCTGGGGGCCCGGAGTGTTGTCCATGGGTTGCACCTTGCACCGCCCCCGGGGCCCGGCAGCAGCGCCTCAAACATTAACAAGCATATGTCATTAGTTTGTCACGTGCTGCGGGCGGGAGTAGTACACCCAATAAACAATAATTCAACAACAAAAAAAAAACGAACAAATAAAAAGGATTGTTCATTAAAACGACCAATCCCTCCCTGTTTTGGCTGTGGGTTGTGGTCGTGCAAAGTGCAGCCAGCTCCTCGTCCAACTCTATACCTTCGAGTGCATATATTGTAACCTTGCCATTGACCGTCGCCAGGTCCCAGCCCAGCCGGCGCGGCGTGCCGAGCCGTCTCTTGATGGCGAGTATCCTGACGGTGGAGGCAAGGTGGGGGGAGGGGG